GCTGTACCCGCAGTGTCACACACACAGGATGTCACAGTGTCACAGTGTCACAGTGTCACACAGATGATGTCACACAGTGTCCCCGTGTCCCCGCAGGTTCCTGGAGGCCGGTGGCTACGTGCTGTACCCTCAGATCGGCGACCGCCTGGACCTGGTGTGCCCGGGGGGGGCGGGGTACGAGTACTACAAGCTGTACCTGGTGGGGGGGGCGCAGGCGCGGCGCTGCCAGGTGCCCCCCGCCCCCACGCTGCTGCTGACCTGCGACCGCCCCCAGCGCGACGTGCGCTTCACCATCAAGTTCCAGGAGTTCAGCCCCAACCTCTGGGGACACGAGTTCCGCCGCCAGCACGACTATTACATCATCAGTGAGCCGTGACGTCAGCGCCGGGGGGCGGTGTCAGCGCTGGGGGGGTGTCATCGATGGGGGGTGATGTCATCGATGGGGTGATGTCATCGCTGGGGGTGGTGGCATCGCTGGGGGCGATGTCACCGCTGGGGGTGATGTCATCGCTGCGGGTGGTGTCATTGGGGAAGGGGAAGGGGTCGGGGGGTGTTTTGGGGGGGTCTTTTGTCATCAAAGGGGCTCTGGTGACGTCAGCAGGGTGGTGATGTCATGGAAAGGGTGGTGATGTCATAGCGAGGGGTGGTGATGTCATCGGGGAGGGGATGGAGGGGAGGGGGCAGCTGTAGGGGGGGCTTTGGGGAGGGTCTTGGGGCTCTTTTGCTGTCAGGGAGGTCCCGGTGATGTCATTGGGGTGTGATGTCATCAGGTTGTGATGTCATCAGAAGCATGAGTGGCATCTCTGATGTCATCGCTGATGTCATCACAGGGGAGTGATGTCAATGGCACGATGTCATGGGGGGAGGTGACAGCAGTAGGGAGAGAGTGATGCAATGATGACGTCACTCGCTACCCCTGTGACGTCATCAATATGAGACAGGGTGAGGCTGTGACATCACTGGTGTGGGCAATGACGTCACAGGGTGTGACATCACCTCAATGGGCGATGACATCAAGGCAGGGGCATGACCGTGGGGGGTGGGGGTGTGTGTTTGATGACGTCACCGATGACGTCACCGCGCCCCTCCCCGCAGCCACGTCGGACGGGACCCCCGAGGGGCTGGAGAACCGCCAGGGCGGGGCCTGCCTGACGCGGGCCATGCGCGTCACCCTGCGCGTGGGACAGCGTGAGTGGCCCCTCCCCCACCCCGCCCCGCCCCTCCCCCCG